TAGTCAAGACAGTTATTAGTAAACTAAACAAGTTAGTCACTTTGACGACGAGAACAGAAGTGCGGGAAAAAACAAAATTGCGACGGGCGTTAAGCGGCGCTGCGGGAAGTCCCTCATAATAGACGCGAAAAAATACACTGACCAAAAACAAGCGACGGGTAATTCCCCGTTCCGTTCGAAAGACGCGCACATGCATGGGTTGATTGATCTCAGGGTTGCCAACCTTATAATATATATATTTTTTAATATTAGATATTTTTTTAATTCAAAATATCACCTATTGTTTTCAGTGGGGACTGGGGCCCTTTGTATCCACGGGGCCCTGGGCTGCAGCCCAAAAAGCCCTTAAGTAGATCCGCCCCTGAATCAATTCTAGTCATCAATCTATTAGTGTAAAGATTTTTTTTGCTTACACTATAGTGTGAACTAAATTATTATATTCTTATTTATCACTCGAATTAAAGTTTTGACACATCATTATTAAAAAAAAATTAATTCTTCAAAAATGCTATGAAACACTATTTATTTACATGGATAGTATAATTATGAACTTTAAAAGTGAAGTTTTAATTTTCGATACAGGTAATATAATTTTACGTATGAATAGTAGACCTTAAAAGCAAAATGTTAATTTTCGGACACAAGAAACCTATTTTACGTGTAAAAGTTATGCATATACAAAACACTTTGTATGCTAAATTTGATTTAAAAAAATTTTAAAAACATTGTACTTTATAAACATATTGATTCAAAACACTTTTTAGTTATATATAATTAAAATTTTCTTTTTCACTTCCATTTATTTCTTAAACGATTTCGTTTAAAAATATTCACAGATACGATTTAGAACATATGTTACTTAAGATACTTTTAATAATATACAGTTCTGGCGAAAAACAGTCTTGAAAAGGTAATTGAAATTTTTTTTAACTGTACTATATAAATATTTTTCAAGATTTATTTCGATATTTACCCTGAATTATCGAAAAACTTATTGTAACTGTTAGTTATAAAATCTATGGTCACCAAAAATGATATATCTCATCATAAAGTTATCCGACTAGTTCCGACAACTTTTTTTTCAATAGTACTAACAAATTCAATCTATTGTTGCTATTCTACTTAAAACAAATTTAATTATTAAAAAACTAAAATAAATCTCTCAATAAAAGAGCAAAGTTCACTTGTCACTTTTCATTTGTATTTTAAAAAATTTACCGGAATAATTGTAATTGAAAAACAAAATAATAAATCCATTACTTTAACAAGCGGTATTTTGTTGAACTACATGTTTTAACATATTTGCTTTCTTGAATTGGAAACAGGAAGATAAAAAAGATGTGATAAGCACATTTCTTTTCTTTTTAATGTTTATGAATTAATGATAATAACAACAATAGAGATGAACAAGTGTACAAAAAAAAAAAGAAAAAAAACATCCTGAATAATTAGATTTTCACTTTCACATTGGATTTTTGGATTGGATTGGATAATAATTGGATTTTCACCTTCTGAATCTCAATATTTACGGTTCGAGGGGGTGACCTCAAATATACTTATCAATTAGCACAGACGATATTGCAAGTTACGAAAGAAATCACAAAAAAGTACTTCCTGTGAATAAACATACCTTTTTTTCGACTCTCTGACCCTCAAAATATATTGGTCATCCGCAGTCTAGAGAATGAGGTCCCAATAGTTTGGTCAGGAGAGCGGTCCAAAGTTCGGACCCCTTAACTTTAATTTTACTTCTTGCGCATCTCGTCATACCTCGAGAAATTTTTGAGCAAGTTGAAAAATTTTTGCACACAATTATAAGATTCGTCTATCGAAAGATAATTCCATGCAAAAAATAATTTTTAATAATTATTTGTTATTTTTCCTGTTTTGTTTAATAATAGTCGAAAAATTTTTGAATTATGAGGTATATAAATTTTTACATGATATCAAAAGATCATTTCATAAGACAAAATAGAAAATTTGAACGAAATTGGTAAAAATAATTCCTGAGAAATCAACTTTTAAAATACGACTTCCTAAAAATTTGATTTCTCAAGAACTATTCCACTAGTGAAGAACTATTTGATTTCTCAAAACCTATTCTCAAGAACTGTTATTATTACTATTATTNAAAGCCTCATTACAACTCCCCGAATGGCAACGCTAGAAAATCGACCAATGATTGCCGCTAAAAATGTCACATGCCAAATCTAGCTAAGGTGGCTCAGCATATAGCGCTTTTAAAAACGGAAACTGAATCTCTTCTGAAATTCACCCTATCAGCTGCGTCAATCTCATACTGTTAAGCTAGGCAGAAGTGAGTAGTCTTTGTCGATAGATCTCTATTTTAGTATTTTATCGAAAGCGCTTTTTTTCATGAATTTATATATTACGAATTCATTCGACGAGAATTTATATGACAATTTTTGATAAATTTATTTTAATAACTTAGTATTTACTAAAAAGATGTTTTTTTTTTTTTTTTAAGTTGTTATATGGATTTGAATGATTGTTTTTAATTCTTAGAATTTTGTGCATTTCCAATGCGCTTAAGTTAGTAGCGAGAGAAGCGAGCTTGGTTTGCAAAGCAAACCATATAAGATTGCGTAGCAATTTTTGGGGGTTGGCGAGCAGGGGGAGCAGCGCACTAGTTAATATTATTATTATACATTATCATAATTTTTCTCAAATTTTGCATTTTGTAAAAGATCTTCTCTCGATGTAGCGAAATAAGAGAAAAGTAAAATTAAAGGGTCCAAACTTTGGAGTCCTCTAACTATTGAGACCCTATTTCCTAGGTAACGGCTACGCTCTTTAATTTTGGGGTCAGAAATCCGTATCCATTGAAAAAATATATATGTTTATTCAGAGGAAATACATTTTTGTGTCTTATTTCGTAACTTAAAGTAACGTTTGCTTTCATTAATTAGTACATTTGAGGTCACCGTTTTGAACCGTTAAGATTGAGTCCCAGAACGTGAAGATCCGATCATTAGATGAAAAGTTATTCAATGCAGTACTTTTTTTTTGAGCACTGTTCAATCTGACATTCATTTAATTTTCTTTAAATTGAGCAGCTTACAATCGTGCGTCACTTAATTAACTGATTGCCAATAGCATCAACAATCAACGGGATAATTGTTGGCTTTAGGGGTACCGCAATCGAGTCGATTCGGGTCACCGTGACTAGCTTGGTGACGACTAGGAGTCATCACTGATGACGTGCTCGTCGCCGAAGTGGGCCATAACCATCATATCTAGATGGTTATGAGTGGGCGGGTCGGTGACAGATTTGAATATTCAGCCCGCTTAAAATATCTGGCAAGGCATTGGAGATTTTACTTATTCGCAATCATTCTTTTAGCACCTAACAATCTAAAGCTTGTTTACTTCTATAGTTTTATAATCTTTTTCTCATTTAATTTGACTTCTTTTCTTTAAATTAAGAGATTGCTTTAGTGAGAAAAAAAAATTTCAACTTCCGAATCGAAAATTATAATTAAACATTATAGAATTGACTTTTATTTTATTATTATTAATTTCAAAAGTTGCAACAATATTATTATAAATTGCAATAACTTCAGTTTTCGAAAATTTTTGTCAGTTAAAATAAAATCGCTGAACTAACTGCTAAAACGCAAATGGTTTCGTTATTCATTTAAACTTTATAAAAACAAATAACTAAAACGTCTTCACACTTGCATTGATGAAGCTATGTATAGATAGTCTATTATTGGACAAGGCGCTTATGGTGTCATATCCGACGGTAAACCGGAACTTGTTTCCTTTTACCAGTGAATCACTTAGTGCGTCACAACAAAGCAGACAGTGAATGGAATCATCGTGATTTCATCTGCCCTAACAAACATATGTCTCAAAGATATGATTAATTGCTAAAGGGCAACTCATTTAGTTCCGACTTGTACCTGAGCATCGCTATTAGTTTTTGTTTAATTTTTTTATGCGTTTACTCGTACTTGGTTAGTTCCACCAAATAGTTTAGATAGTAATCTAAGTAAGTAATAAAGGTTATATTTATTTCAGATTAGACTACTTGCAGGTATATCTTGGAGCAACAACCCTGGCTCCATCCCTTGGTCCTTTCTGCGGAAATATCAAAGATAGGGTTCTGAAGACAAACTCCTCAACTCTTCTCTTAGTCTTCCATTCTGATCCAGTATACGAAGATAGAGGTTTTTCCATTGACTACTTCACTCAGAGTGCAGGAGGTACTATTCAAAATTTAGATCAATAACAATTTTTCAGTTTTCAGTTGTAATAAAGAGCATTAATAAACAGCTGCACAACCAGCAGCTTATAAAAAAAAACAAAATGTTAGAGAATATTTTCTTAGTCAGTAGCACGAAAATGATTTTGAGAACGAATTCATTACAAAACCGTGATTGGAAGCATAGTCAAAGATTAAATTAATTTATTTTTATTAGAGAATATAGTAAATTATTCGAGATGCCATACTTAAAATAATTCGTGATAGCAACACTCGAATACACCATCTGGGAAGACCGATTCCGTGTCGTGTCCCTCCCTTTTCCCTCTCCTCTTCTTCTCAGTTGTATGGGAATGTGCTACGATATTTTTCCTTTCCATAACATTTTTCGTGTTCAATTGTTAAAAAAAATTTCCTGAAATTTCTACGACACTTTCTTTCAGAACTATGTTTAATGCAGTTTTGAATTCCATTTAATTTCTTAACTTTAATGTTTTAAATCTATTTGAATACTAAGGCAGAAACCAACGTACTTCCTTCTCCTATGACTGTCCACGCGCTAATGACGAAATCATGTAAAGTGTTACTATAGATGAAGAGTTCTGCTTTGCGCCACCTGTTGCCCATTTCGATCACCAATAAGCAATTAGAAAGCTTTTGCATTACGTTTGTCTTACTCAAACCGTAACGATCTTACTCCTTAGCGCCATCACGATTTGTGGCTGAAATTTTCGCGTATGGACTGTGAAGCGCAACTAGCATTAACGTTAGAGTTAGTGACCACCGTAACGATTTGCAAAATCTCTCTAATACAGAATATTTACGGTAAAATATATATTAGGCCAAGAATTGCAGAAATCTAAATCTATAATTTTTATAATGTTTAAAATAACTCGAAATCCAATGGTTCAATGGTTAAAAGCATTGAGCTGCCAAGGACTAGGATTCGATTCTCAGTGATGGCTTGAACTGTACCCAGCTCCAGATAGATGGATACTGGCTTGACTGGGAAGAAAATGTGATTTGTGAACTGCTAACGACATTGCCATAATCATAACATCGGTCTCGAAATTGTGGAACCTTTAAATCTATGACCTCTTGATCTAAATCAGGCTGTGCTGGGAATGATTTTTACTTTACAATATCATTCATATTAGAATTTTTTTATTATTGTTACTATTATTACGAATTAAACTGATAATAAATGCAAAAAGTTTGATTGCTAACTAGACAACAGTTTAACGTTAATTCACCATTTCTCCTAAAAAATAAAAAATGCTACAGAAAATATTTGACGTCAGAGCAGAACGTGACTATTTATAGCAATCTTTTTCCTTCTGGATATTTTTATTTTTACTATTATATATGAACGTTACTATTTTCTTTTTTTTTTTCAATCTTTTCCTTATAACACATTACTCTATTGAATTCGACGTGAAGTGTCTTCGAGGAATTTAAACATCTTAATTTCAGATAACAAATTAGGAGTGCGACCGTAGTGCACCCAAAGCAGAGCAACTGCTACCATTTGTAAACAAATTTTTCGTCATAAAAAAAAACAAATAATTATATTAAAAAATACGTATCAAGATGCTGTAAGCAAAAAAAATCCAAAATCATTAAAAACGAATCATCTACCGGGACTTGAAACAACCTCTGCAAATACTGCTAGAGCACGAAACTCGGTCAAGAATAAAGTCAATACAACAGAAAGCAGCGTTTATAATAGTAGATTTTAAAAAAAAACATTCAAACCAGTTTTCTAAGTTATAAGTAATATCATCACAATAAAAGTTTCCTATTGAAATGATCTGTCGTATTAACAACTTTTCTTCGACTAAAATGCATAAGCTCACAAATGAGGAATTTGAGTTCGAAAGCAAAATATAAAAGAATAAAATTAATAAAAATAAATTTAAAAAAACTAAAGATACACACAAACGGAATAGGTTCATAAATAGTTTGATTCTGTCAATAATATACAGAAATACTTCAATGTCGACACAAAACATTACGAGAAGAAATTTTCAGTTGTGCTTTGTTTTACTTTGATTACTTTGTTTTTTTATTTTTTTTTTTACGAACATAAAGAAATTACCGATTTATTTAATTTTAGTTGTGTTGCAATGAAAATTGCAAATTACAAATGAGCGAAGGAGTACACCGCATTGAAAATTAATTTTATCAGAAATTGCTTTCAGATTGCAAAGCATCCTTAACAGAATCTTCAGGCACCATAAGAAGTCCAGGGTTTCCCAACAATTACCCCGACAAAACAGATTGCTGGACCCTCATAACAGTCAACCCAGACAAGAAAATTAAGTTAAACTTCGATTCATTGGAACTCGAATATGGGGAAAATTGCACATATGACTATGTTCAAATATATGACGGTGCTACAAGAAGTAAGAATCTCAGCAAATTTAACGCACAAAAATATTTTTTAAGAATCGAGATACGTTTTGTTAATATATATATCATCTTTAGATTCTCCTCTTATGGGTCAAATATGCCGACGCCAGGGTGATATGATTTTCGAATCTTCAAGCAATACTATGTTGCTTCATTTCCACTCTGATGAATCTGTCAATAGAAAAGGATACAGGGCACATTACTCAGCAATTGATACCAGGAGTATCATGACGGGTGGTAAGTATTATCCAACCATTTAAATTTTTAGAGCTAAAAAAAAGTTATAAAAATTCTAATAAGTAATGGCCTGAGGTACTCTAACCTGTTAAAAGTTTTGGAGTGTGTTGAACCACACTTCCGTTCCTATTTTTTTGCCATCTTCAGACGGTACTAAATGGTACCATATTAACGTACTTATTACACTTGATTACATGATACTTCTCTTCAACTTGAGCAAATATTTGCCTCCTTCATACGGTACTAAATGAAACCATATTATCGTACTTACACTTGATTACAATATAATTTGATCAAACCTACTCAAATTTGTTGCTACTTTCACACAGTACTAAATGGAATCATAATATCGTACTTATTACACTTGATTACAGAATAATTTAGTTCAACGTGAGCAAATGTTTAGTCACCTTCATATGGCGCAAAAGGGAACCATATTATCGTATTTATTACACTTAATTACATGATACTTTTCTTCAACTTGAGCAAATTTTTACCTCCTTCATATGGGACTAAATGAAACCATATTATCGTACTTAATACAGGATACTTTGGTTCAACCTGAGCGCGAATAGGGTTCGATTTAACTCCTTATTAAGGTGCAGAAAATACTTTATCTTATATATCATACATATCTTCATCATACATATTCATTTTCATAAATTTTTATCTTACAGATCTTTAGAATTTCGTTTTGCTTGTTTTTGGTTTCTAACTTTTTATTTAAATGATTCAAAATACTAATATTATAGGTCAAAGTTGATGGTTTTTCTGAGAATATAAATTCTTTCTCTTATAATTCCAACTCCAAATTCCCAACTACCTCAATTTAATCTGACCCTAAATTTGATATAGCTTGATGGAAAACCAAGCCCAATAACTGAGAGTTACGAGAATGACTGTCGATTGAAACTATTAAAATTTTAACTTACGGAAAAACCTGTTAACATTTCAGTGAGTGTGAGAAAATAAGTTCAAGGAAATAGCTAGAAATATGCTAGAGCTGTTTACAAAAATCTTTCCTCCAAAACCGCATTATTTTAAATCTTCACAAAATAACTTTCGATTCAAACCGACAACATAACACGTTTTTCAAACTCTTGGTTTATTCGAAATGTAATTTAATATATTCTTACCATGGCTTTTCGAAGCTCTTTCGCCAAGAAAAATAAAAAAGCCACAGTTAACGTGCCTTGCACTTGAACGAAAGCTATAATTTTTAATTTTGTATGTCATTTTTCCGTGAAGAATTATCTGAGCTTTAGAACGAACAAATAACTTAAATATTTTAGGTTATTAAACCTTTTTTAAAAACCGCCAATTTGGCGACATTCTTCCACCTACACGAAAATTATCAAAATCAATGCCGAATTCTCATTTTTTTCAAATTTTTATGACTTTTTATGATAATATAGCATTGGAGTGATTATTCAGTATTGAAATATAAGACCATAAAAGCTTTCCATTTTTTTCGAAACTGTGGCTTTTCTTCATATTGAAATTTTGCACATTTCTAGAACAAGCATATAGACGGTGTTGGCTAAAGATAGACTAAACATAACCTAACAGTCATGAGTAACTGTTATGAAAATAGTATTTTATTCGCAAAAGAGCATCATTTCATACAACGACGGAGCTTCCTCCTATCCAAGTAGTTACAACTGTTATATTTAAGCCCTGTTAATGCACTAATCGAAACTATATCATACAATATCAAAAAAGTATTAAAATTTTTCTTGAGAAATGTTGATATTTCCCTCAATTACAAAACAAAGAACTGTGCGAAGTCAAAAGTTCTCATCTTTTTCGCATATTTGTTACCTTCAAATATATCTTGGAGGATTGCAAACATTCAGACGAACTATTGAACCGTAGTTGAAACAATATATTTTGGAAACATATTACGACGGATATTTAACTGATTTTGATTTTTGCAGATTGTCTCTGGGAAAGCGGTGATATGAATGGTACAATTGCAAGTCCAAACTATCCTGCCAATTATCCAAACAATGCGAACTGTAGCATATGGTTGCAAGCACCTGAAAACTACTGGATATCAATAACATTCGATGCACTACAAATGGAAATTGATACTAACTGTTCGTATGATTATCTGCAAATTAAAGATGGCCCACCTCCAGGTATTACTACCCAAACAAAAGTATTACGCCGTGTGCATGTGAATATTAAAAATAATATCCATACTTTTATTAAATGAAAATGTTTATTTTTAACAATAAAACAAAAAATTTTTACTCATCCAACATTTAAAAAAAAATGATAATGATATTATATATAGTTTGATTGGTCTATTTCGCTTTACTTTACGAATCAACTTAGGTATTTATTTTTATTATTTATTCAGATTCCAAACTCATGAGGACATTTTGTGGGAAAATATCAAAACCAAAAGCGCTTCGTAATAAATAGATATTTCTTTTTGAATTTTTTAAAAGCAAAATACGAATCATTAATTTCAATTAAATTTATTTTTTATTTTTAGATTCCAAACTCATGGGGACATTTTGAGGGAAAATATCAAAACCAAAAGATCTTCGTAATAAATAGATATTTTTTTTTGAATTTTTTAAAAGCAAAATACGAATCATTAATTTCAATTAAATTTTTTTTTTTTTACTTTTAGATTCTAAACTCATGAGGACATTTTGCGAGAAAATATCAAAACCGAAAGAGCTTCGTAGTAAATAGATATTTCATTTTAATTTTTTTTAAAAACAAAACCAAAATATGAATCATTAATTTCAATTAAATTTATTTTTTATTTTTAGATTCCAAACTCATGGGGACATTTTGCGGGAAAATGTCAGAACCAAAAGAGCTTCAATCCAAAACTAATGAAGTTGAGCTTAGATTTCAGTCAGATGATTTCGCTGAATTCTCTGGTTTTAAATTAAGATATAATTTCCTCACAAATACCACAGGTAAATTTTTTCATTTTATTTTCATCACTCTTCTTTTAGTCATTAAAAAAAAAGAACTAAATTTAACTTTTGAATTTTAAGTTTAATTTATTTTCATCAAATAAAAGTCGTTTACAGAGGCACGAGCATTATAATTTTATTCTCACGGGGTTAAACTGCATATCAAGTTACAATTTATAGAAGAAACCGTTTCCATTTGAAACGCTTCAGTTCTGTGCATTCTAGATGTTTGTTAATAAATATATTCTACTTGCCAGCGTGAATTCTATTCTTTCTACGCGACAATATTCTTTCGATTAATGTCTTGTATAAATTGCAGATTCCATATCAGGACCTTCAAAAACAGCTGATATGGGAAAAGTTTCATTTGAAACGTATCCAGAAAACGCAACTTTACCGATAGGATCTCCATACATGTTACGTTGCAGCACAAGGCATCCTCTAGCCAAAGTTCGATGGTAAGTTTCAATCACATATTTACCCAAAAAAAACATTGCATTTTATTACGTCAATATAACAATGGTTTGCTTTATGAACAGGTTAAAAGATGATCAGTTCCTGTCCGGAGGAACGCCGCTACCTGGACTTAAAGTACTGACCAACCAGACACTATGGATTCAGAGTATGGACCACCATCTGACTGGTCAATACACTTGCGTCATCGTCACTCCAGAAGAGTCCATTTCTAAGAGTGCTTTTGTCGTTGCACAGAGTGATACCAAAAATAATGAGTCCGCATGTGGCATTGGTGGGTGAATGTAATTTAGGCATTTTTTAAAATGAAACGTTTTTAAACGAATTTTTTAACCTGAACGTGAAAACTTTTTAAGTTATTTTCATTATTAAATTCTTCGAAAACAGAAATCTACTCTTAGCTGTAATCAGAAACATGATGGATTATTATCGTTTATAATTTTTAAAAAATATATATATTTAACTAAAACTATTAAATAGCATAAATGCTTTATTGTGAATATAATTAAAAGGTTGCATAGTACACCGATTAAGATATTTAAAACGTGATTTTACATTTTACAAGATATTTAAAACGTGATTATAAATGTTTGCGTTTTCATTAATTATTTTGAATATTTGTTTTCAAATAATAAGGATCGAAGACGGATATTTTTAGCTGTTAAATAAGAAAAGAAATAAAGCTAAACTAGATAAAGAAGACAGAAAGACTTTTTAAAAGAATTTAACTTACATTTGAAGAAAAATAATATCTCAAGCTAGCTGTTAGAAATTTTTATTAATAATATTGACAAAATTTTTCATGAAAATTGAATGTACGGATGATTACAAAATTTCATGCCTGATTTAAAGCTAAAGGAAATGCAAGTCATTTTCATGAAGAAAAAAAAGTATTTATTTATCAATAATGTGCTTTAAGCCATTTTTTGTAAAAGTCTCTAAATGTTGCGCCCATTTTTAAAATATTTTTTTGTATGTAGATATTGTGAAGTTTTTCTTCAAAGAAAAGTGTAAGGGCAGTTTTAATTTCTTCACGCACTAAATTTCTATTTTTAATTTAAGTTATTTTGTAGAAGACTTAATATACAAAAAACTGATTTGACAAAGGTTAGATAAATAAAGTGGACTTTCCCTTTAAACGTTCTTTTTCTTTTGCAATGCGGGTAAAATCTAATATTCGATAATCCTTTAGTACGCAACACTCCTATTGTAGCCGAAGAAGAGATGGTGGACTCAACCAAAAACCATCTAAATCACACTTGAATGTTGTGGGAAGTCGTCACTGAAAAAACAGTAGCCTTCCATGCGCTGCAGTACGCGCAAAGATGATGTTTAAAAAAAATTTCCTTCGTTGAGTTTTTAAAATCATTATTAAAGGGAAATCCCATATAATCCCATTAAGCTCATCAAATCCGAGAAAATTCTTCGATACGTCTTTTATTATTTGTTATGTCAGTCAGCATGGCACGAAAGCCCTTTGTGGACATGGGCCTTCCTTAGAAGCTTTTAATATGCTCTTTTCTCAGAAATTAATTTCCAATTCTTCACTTTCAGGATGAAAAAGTCCTCATCCACACAGTCTTTTTTGGGACTACCTCTTGGTCTTTGTTTGATGGGGTGGTATTGAAATTGTTCGATCAATGCTGTTCGCTCAGAGTTCATTCTTATTAGAAGCCCTGCCAATCTCATTCTACTTAGTTTTGCGGATTTAATAATATCCTCATTATTAAAAAATTCTTACATTTCAAAATTATAACTTTTCTCCAGAATTTATTACTGTCAAGAACATCAACAAAGATGGCTCCCAAAACCTTCCTTTCAAAAAACGCAAAGATCTTTTTTTTTCTAAGTCCATGTAAGCCATGGTTCAAGTTTATAACAATTAAAGTTTACGTATTTATATGTCTTGGCACTGTCCCACATAGGAGCAACTTTTCCAGATTTTGCGGATACGTTAATATATATATATATATATATCTATTGCGATAATAGTACGGTGCTTTTATTTTTCGCCGATCCCTAACAATTAATACCAGTCACGTGTACATTTGATGTAATAATATGAACATCATAATAATCGTTATGATCTAATCTCAATTTTAAAAATATTTTCTCCTATTAGGGACTTTTTCCTTACGTTGTTTCTTTTCGTTAAGACGTTGTTACATGTAGTAGAAAATAACGAAAAAAATGCTTTTTCCGCAAACCAAATAGAAACGTTTTGCTTGGATTCCAATATCTCCAATTTAGTTGTTCCGATTATTTGTAGGCTACATTCCTCTGCGACCTCGTCGGACATGTAACATTTTCTTACGCAAAGCAGAGTAGGAACGAACTTTTGCAATAAGCCGATTTTTAACTTGCAATATTGCTTAATGCTATGAAATATTGCTTGATAACATGCAATATAATTCTTTTTTCTTTAGTATTCCGCAAGGTCCCGAGAGACGCCTACTTTGCTGAGGGAGAATTTGCTTACATGGAATGCCTAGCTGCTGGTACAAATGTACAGTTTACATGGGAAAAGGATGGAAAGCCCATAGAAAACAGTAGAAGGGTTACGATTCTGAAGAATGGAATGCTTTACGTAGATAGGGTCACCCTGGATGACGCTGGCATATATTCTTGCGTCGCCTATGATGAAATAGCCAAGTGTCGAAAGAAAGCCTCCGCATTTCTTCAAGTCAGCGAAAGAGCCAAAATCGATGAAAGTATGTATACATAATTCTTATTAATGAATAAACAGTAACCTTATTTGACTACAAGTTCAACACTTGCAATTTTACCTCATGCACACCCTTTTCATTATTTCAATCATACCTATTTTACGAAATACTCAAAAACCTATTTCACATTTTTATTTAAATTTTAAATAAATTTTCAATTTTAAAATCGCGAAAATCTGCATTGTTGAAAGTAACATAGTTCTTTAAACAATATCATGCAAATATATTGTAGTAAATCATACTAAGATATCAAGTTGAATCATATTATCTCGAAAATGTTGCCATCTCATACTTCGTAATCCGGAAATATGAATTATAACTTAAAAACAAGATTAGAAACATCGGGAAATTTAGCACACTACTAACATTGCTGAGAAATGAGACTTTTAATAAAACCATATCAAAGTCTCCTTTCTCTGCAATCTTAATAGTGCGCTAAATTACACGGAAAGAGCAAATACCGGTATTATGGTACCTACCTTAAATTAACTTTTAAAAAGGGCATACAGCTTTAAAAAACTAATACTTTCCAAAAAGTTAATAAACTGCATAATTATCTCAAGTAAACTTACTAAAGCAGTCAAATATTTTTTAAAAAAATGTTTTGTTTTTCCCGTTTAGTTTGTGGAATACCAAAAGCAGGCAAACCATCTAATGATATTCCCATTATGGATCATGGTAAGATTGTTGGAGGCCATAACACCAAGAAAGGAGCATATCCATGGCAAGTAAGTATACTGCTGTCTTGGAAATAATCTTAAAATCTGTTTGCTTTTAATACAGGAATGTCCTAAAGTTACTTCCTGGACCATATCAATTGCTGCTTAGATCGCCTGATTATAGATCACAATAATAAATTAGCATATGTCTTAGGTGAGCCTTTCAAGTCCTATATGACATTGTAATGAGCATTATATTAAAATTTACCTCACAATTGTAATTGGGTACTTGCACTTCAAAAAGATCGCGTATACCCACACATGTGACCTATTACGTCAGCGTTCGCTTTACAATGATGCGAACTGGGTTCAAAACGGCTCGCACCGACCACAGCGCTGACTTAAAAATATCCTCAGTGGTAGACGGATCATCGGGTTCCTTTGCCTATTAGTTCCCGCAAAGCGGTCAAATGCGGGTTAGTTCCATCAGAAAGTTTTCCACAAAGGCAAATTTCTCCCAATACTTGATCCAGGAGTTCCTTTGTCTCCTGGATTGGGTTCAAAATTAGAAGGCTGCGGAGTTGAACAACGGTAGTCGTAAACTCAAAATTGGGTTTTGCTGTTCAACGCTGGTTTTATTTATTTAAAAAAAAAACTATGAACTGGAGCTGAGGTTACAGGTCACGTATTTGTGTATCAGTGATTCTCTTCATCTCGAGTTGCAAGCACCCAATTCCTTTCAGAAAGTTGTATGATGCTATTGACAATCAGAATTTACATAAATTTCAACACATTAGTTTAAAATTTTTAACAATGTGTAAATTTTTCCTCGTGTGTGTTACGAAACTTGTATTACCAAAATACTTTTCACATTGAAATCCTTTGAACACATTCCTTTAGGTCATGCTATGGGAACCAACACTGAAATCATTCTGTGGAGGATCATTGCTGAATGAACGATGGATAGCGACAGCAGCTCATTGCTTCGTCCACTATCAACACCTCAGATGGGATCGAGTCGTCATTAAGGTCGGTAAATACGACAGAGAACACGAGGAAGTGGAAGAATTCAAAACAAGCATAGCTGACCAGTCGTCCATTGTGATACATCCAGCTTTCAACAAGTTGACATTCGACAACGACCTGGCAATGATTCGTCTACGAGACCACGTCAAATTCACAGATTACATTTTGCCCATATGCCTCGGGGACAGAGAAATGGGCGAAATGTTTCTGTCTCCGAACGGAAGGTCATCGCAAGAGGTTCGGATGGGAACAGTTATAGGATGGGGGAAATTGAAAGAGTCCGGACCGTCGCCAAGATACCTCCAAGAAATTCGACTACCCATTGTTGATCAGAAGACTTGTAAAGAATCTACAAATTACACGGCAAGTAGAAACGTTTACTTTTTACTACTCTATATGGCAGGGGTGGTCAACCTGCGACTCGCGAGCCACATGCGGCTCTTTGAAGGATTATTTGTGGCTCTTAATGAATGTACCCGAGTTTCTTTTTCCTTTTTATGCTATTATATTTTAAAAAATTATTATCGTTCCGTACGTGTTTCAAAATGTTTTTTTAAATTACCGAGAACTAATATGAAAGTGCAACGTTGTTCAATTTAAGGTGAGTTTTCCATTTCCAATATAATTATGACACAAAAAACTTCGGGAGAATTAGAACTAATTGAGGTGCAAGAAGATCAAGCTCTACAATTAAAATATAAATTGACGTCGATTACAGATTTTTGGAAATTTGTACCAGATTTGAAGTATCTTGGGCTGCTTGTCGAATGATTTCAATATTCGGAACAACGTACTCAAGTGAATAATTTTATTCCACTTTAAAATTATTAAAATCCAAACACAGATCAGTATTAACTAACAAGCATCTCAAAGAATAGCTGAGAAGTGTTGCCACCAATTATTCACTAAATTTTAAAGAATTATCAAGAGAAGTAAAATAAATGCGTTTAATTTTAAGTTCAATACACATATTTTGTACTTTTACTTATATATTTTCAATAAACATAATTTATGTAAAAAAAAAATTTAATACCTTTTTTGCATACCTTTGAAATACGTATTTAATTGCGGCTCACGAAAAATTTTAAATTTTGAAAAATGGCTCGACTATGTAGGAGCTTGGCCACCCCTTCTATATGGCAACCTAAAATAATAAATATCGTAAAATGAGTGTCGGCAACAACCAGGAAATATATGGATCGGAAATACTGTTTAAACAAAATTAGAATTCCTATGAAATTTAAGTCCTTGGCATTTTAGTGTGGCCAAATCTCTTAAGAGCTTCAGTGTTTACACGAAAGATTAAGTTTCAACTTGAAATCACTCTAAACCAATTGTTCTGTGAAATAAATAGTAAACTTCGAAATTAGGTTGAGGCTTACTTCTAAGTTAACACTGTGAAAAGTTTAACTTTAAAATGTCTTAGTGTAACCCCCCCCCCTAATAAACTAAAAAGATATTGTGTTGTTTTAAATAAAACAATCCTGAATAACAATCATGAAAACAATCCTGGCAACATGAACAATTAATTTGTGGCACCAAAACACATTTTAAAGAAGAGAAAATATTTAAAACGTTTAGAAATTATACAATTTTTATTTTGTACATTTATTACAATAATGCAAAAATATACTAATATCAAATTATGTAAGATTTAAAGTATCAAAAAGATAATGCCTTAAAATCAATCTATAATTTGCACCAGATTCAAATTCAATATGAATTCATTATTTTAATACTATCAAATCCAATTCAACAATCAAATATTTTCAGGAAAAATATTACCTTAATATCACGAAGTATTAAATAGAATAAATGGTTATTAGTTTTTAATAAAAAAATATTAAAACTTAATTTAAGAGCATAAATAAAGTACCCAAAAAAAGTGCTATATTAAAATATTTAAAATCAAGTAATGATATTCCAATTATTCTGTACTAAATATACTTGTAAAAATACTTTAATCATTTTTTTCTTATTCAAACATACCAAATGAAAATAGACTTAATTAAATTAGTGGCACTTATAGTGGAACGGAAAAAATATTTAATTCTACTATAAAGAAAGTTTTAAAATAGAAAGAAATTTGGTTTGAATCAGCACATAATATAAAATTATTGCCTTAGAAAAAATACAAAGAAAATTAACTTCGATTGATAAGAAATAAAGAGATTAAAAGGAAAATCAGTCAATAAAAATAAACTTCAATTTAAATGTTAGCAAAATTTATGTATTTAAAACAAGATAACATTTAAATAATTTACAATGATTTATTACAAAAATATAAAAACTAAATTTGTTTGACAATGAAACAAAATTAATAAGGATTAATAATAAGACAAAATAAACCAAACCATTCTTCCTCAATTTTTAAAGATTTAAAATTATCCTTTATAATAATAATAAAATGTACATAAATTAATTTATTAAGCCTAATCTAGTACAACTTTTGAAATTAAAACATTAATTTAGAATAAACTTATCAAATGATGTCTTAAACATTCACAAATAAATAAGTTATCATGAAACATTTTTTGAGAAGCTAGCTGCAGTTAAGAGTAAGCTCTAAATATGACAATTTTTGGTATTAAATAATGTTTCCATTCATCAAAAAAACTAGTTGAATAGATATTCAGTAGCTCTTATCCACAGAGAACAGTGAGAAAACATCAAGTAAACATACAACAGTTCAAACACTTTTAAAACAAGCAACCAACTTGAAAAACATGAGTAAAAAGCCACATAGAAGAAAAATATCACAATATGAAGTAAAAACGACATTTAAGTCCAACTTTATCAAATACAGTATAAAAGATTAACATTTATAAGTACTTGGATATGACTGAATAAAAACACGTTTGATAATTAACACATTTTTAACACAACTACAATTTTCACAGACCTCCAATCGATAAAAATGCAAAAAATTTTCTTTTTTGCACAAGAAAAAAATTTGCGTTTTGACAAAAAAATTCATTTACTAAAATATTTTTCTACAAAAAATACTAAACTTACAAATAAAATTTAAGAAAAATTTTAAAAATTCACTTTGTTATAAACATTAGTTTAAAGAAACTTCTAATATCAGTTCAATAATTGAATAGAATAGAATTAACCATTAACTTTAATAAAATTGAACTACAAATGAGAAAAAAAAATATAAGTATGCATTACAATTCTGATTATTCAATCCTCTCAAAACAAATCAAGAACTGAGTTAATCAGATAACAGGATGACTCTTAAAAGGGCTAATATTCAATATAACTTACAATATTTTGCAACAATTTGAAAATATTTTAATCCAATTTTTTTTAACAGTTCCTTAATATAATTACTTTTTCAGTCTAGTTTATCTAAATGATTCTAAAATAAATATGTTAATACTATCCTATCACAAATTTCTGAAAAAAATTACAAGAATAATTCTTATATATGATTTCACAAGTGTCAAAGTGGTGTCAATTAATACTCGGAGGCTCAGGTCAGAAAAAGTACAAAGAATAAACGTTTTATTTACATACATTTGTTTAAATAGGAAAAAACAAAAACCGAAAAATTAATGGCGTATGACGTAATGTATTCTCTCAAGTAGTTTATTTTTGCGATTTCTGTCACCGTTTACACTTGTGACCATTGGTTCAGTTACTCTCATTATAAATATAAGTTATTAGGTCATCAAGAATGAAATTTGTAGGTTGGCTAAGGAAAATTTAATACCTCATTATTTGACATTGTCTTATTTGAATTTACCGTTTTTTTTCCCCTTTTGTTTAAAAGCTATATATACAAATCTTTGCAAGCTCTAAAGAAACACTAAATCATTTTTTTTTAAATTTATATTATTTAAAATGAAATGATAGGATAATCCCACTATTATGAGATATGAGTTTTTACTTGAAATTAGGGCATTGCAAACCATGCAAAACATAAATAGTGTATTTGGTTCTAGTGTTGTTGGCTTTAGTGCTAGTTAAAAGAGGATGGATCACCAAAACACTCTCCAAAACTAAAACAGAATATTAGACAACAAAAAAAACTGATGAGCATTAAGTGATTTAGTGCAAATGTGACCCATTATGATCCTATAAAACTTGACACCTCCCGTAACAACAGGCATGTACTGCAACTAACTCGATGAAATGATACAAACAAAATAGATTGGTTCAGCAGATTTTCTCTTGTCGCCGTCTTATCGTATGACATTGCCAAACCACACACTGCTCAAATGGCTATGGTAAAACAACAGAAATTAGAACTTCTTTGTGATCATTTGTACTCACTGGACCTAGTCCCCAATAACTACCACCACTATTCAAATTTGAAAAATCTTTTATTAGGAAAACAATTTAATTTCGAGAATAATGTAAAACTGGCCTTACATGCATTCATTACCTCACCTCCACCAGAATTTATCGCTATGGACTTGCCAGCAGTTTACATGGCAAAGATGTAGCAAAAATACAGGAGCATACTTTGATTAATAATATAGTTCTTTAAGCCATCAACCAACTTTGCCTTTTTTTTCTACTAATTTCATTCTAGGCGACCCTATTTAAGTAAATTGTGCCTTGGATAACAGATGTTTGTTTTGTTTTTTTGTGCAACAATAAAAACTCAATTAAATTATCTTTAAATGTTTACTCAACAATAACTAGGTGTCTTATTATTTGTAGGTCAGCCGAAACATGTTTTGTGCCGGATATGCTCAAGAGATATTAGGGGATGCTTGCCATGGAGATAGTGGGGGCCCGTTTTTAATGTCACACGAAGACAGATGGTATTTGCTTGGTATCGTAAGCTGGGGTGAAGGCTGTGGAAAGGCCAACAAATATGGTTTCTACACCAAAATTCCAAACTATCTACCATGGATAAAAGGTATCATGAAATCATAAAGAGTGTGTCTACAACATAAATTATGTATCTTTACTGTGTGTATTGAAACCCTATAGTGTATGCATGACTATTTTTTATAAATCGATATTTATGTAAAGAACATGGATTTAAGTTTAAAAGAATAAACTATTCCAAAGAAGAACTTTGTGTTGTTTTCGAGTATTGATTAATATAGTGTGGAAATTAAATAAACAGAATACCTTCAAAACTTTAGATAAAATGATCTGATTTTCATATATTACAATGAAGTTTTAATGGTTTGAAGGACTTACTTTATATATGCCAATTAGTTTTTGAAAACAATGTTTTAATTAAAAATAAAAGTGGGAAAATAAAAATAATAAAAAAACAGAACACCTTAAAAGCTTTTGATCTAGTCATCTGATTTTCATGTACTAGGATGAAGGGTTATGAAATAAGACACACTACTTACAAATGATTAAATAAAATTATTAAAATGTCGGTTTACACACAAAAAGAGAACTAAGAAGAAACATCTGTTGTCTGACATTTGATACTGGAGAACTGCTCTTTCTAACTGGCAGTGGTTTTAACAATTTCGGTTAACTCCACTGGCTCTGGTTCCTGCATCGGAAAAAAGAGTCAGCAGCAACTTTTGATTTGATTTTGTGTCCCATATAATACATTTCCAATATTACTTGTGGTGAATATTTCTATGTACAACTTAAGTTACATCAATTTACATAGCTCATTATAAAAATTAGTTTCAGTACAAATACTTTTACCAATATAAGCTTCATCACAATGACTTTTAGTTTAGTTGTTGATTCCATTAAGTTAAAATTTCAAAAACTTCAATTACAAAATATGTAAAAATCTTATTACAGGAACGCTTCAGATTGCTTTATTCATGATGATTTGAAATGATGTCATTGATTTTATTCAAATGATTAAGATATAAATAATTCTTAAATATATTATTTTCAAAAATTCAATGATTAATTTTATTGCGTAATTCCTAATTAATAAGTCTAAACAATTAATAATACTAAGTAATTAATTTTTCTCATGTAATTTAAATTAAGGCTGTAAATTTCTCAATGATAGGAAATTCNCAAAGCCCAAGAATCTTCTAAAAAGATGGAGGCAGCAGAAGAGCCGAAGGCAACAGAATTTAAGGATTTAGGGAAACCGATTTAAGGAATCCGACCGGTCAAAAAATTTTTCAAGGTGCCAAAATAAAAAATATTTAGCACTTTTTTAGCACTCAGAAGAAATTTTAGCACTTTTTAGGCCCTAAAAAAGTTGGGAAAAAATTTTAGCACTTTTTTAGGACATTTTAGGACAGCAAGAACCCTGTTTACTTCTCTTGAAAATAAGTTTGATATTAATTTTGCAACCATTTTTTTTTCTCCTTTCTGGGAAATTCACAGCTCTACTTAACACATGCATATTAACCCATTAACTGTTTTAAAAGATAACAAGTGGGAAAATAACTCAGCTCAAAGCGAAAATTTAAAGATTAAAGAAAATGTAATATTTTTACGTAAATACTTAAAAAATAACATACTACGCAAGGAAGACAAGAATATACATGTCAGATCAATAGAAACTTTGCTTATGGTGCTTCAGTGTAAGCTCAGATTAACTGATTGCATACAGTTACAAAAACTAAGTATTAACAAAAACATGAATCAATGTGAGAATTAAAACAGGGTTTGTGCATCAAAACAAAATTATATATGCATAAGAAAAAATATAAAACGTAATACAAACCTATACAAACGATATCTATATATACAAACAGCTTAGCTTAAAACTGTCAACAACACAATCACATACATTTAGATGCAGGTGATATACATTTATCAAAAAGTAATTTTGTGCCATACAAAAATATACATTAAATTAGGTAATAAAATAAATAAGTAAAAAAAGCAACCCAATGACTTGCATAGTTCAAATCAGACCACTTTTGTAATGTGTGAGCCATGTTATAGCCCTGAAAAAATAATATATATATATACAATGCAGACAGTTATAAACAAAAATCTTTTAACCAAAACAAAAAATAATTAGGATAAAATGTAAATAAAAATTTTATTCTAAATGTATGGAAAAATTATAATGAAGTCAAAATATATAACTTATAGCATTTCATTTCCATTTATTCACATATATTTACTTTCCTTTTAAAAATAGGTAGACTTAAAATACAAAAAGATAATTAGTAAAATTTAAAATAAAATCATAAGTAAAAAAGAAATATATCAGTAGGTAATGGTTATGATGTTTCCTTGTTCCTACATTTTCCTCTAAATTAATACCTCTATTAAAATATGAAGCATCAACTAATATGAAGTATCAACTAATATGAAGTATCAACTAATATGAAGTATCAATTAATATGAAGTATCAACTAAAATGATTGCATCAGTATGATTCAGCACTTGAGATTATTCAAAGAAAAATTCTTGTACTGATAATTGCCATTTTTACAAACTGAAATTAAACTAAACAAAAATCCCTTTTAATGATCTTTGCAATGAGAAATTAAAAACTAATTATCTTCGCTTATACAGTAGAACTCTAATTATAAGAGTACCAATAATCTGGTTTACCAATAATCTGAATTATAAGGCTCAGTAGAGCGGTAGTTACTGAATTCAAAAGAACAGTACAGAATTTAAGAGATAAGAAATTATTCAATTATCCAGAAACTCAAGCATTTTAACTGGATCTGGTTCAAATCAATTCAGATAACAAAAGTTTCATCATTAAAAACATTACTTTTTTTTCATACTGCGTTTCCTTTAAAAGAATAACAATTTTCAACTATTATGTAAATTTGAAGTGGAAAAAATAGAAAATTAGAGAACACAATTTAAGAAATATTTTCACAAAAAAATTAATCATGAACAAATATAAAATGAGAAGAACAGTACAAAACTCAAGATATAAACATTTATTCCATTATACAGAAACACAAGCAATTTGGTTCAAATTAATTCAGATAATTAAAGTTCTATCAGTACTTATGACTACTATTGTTACAGATTATATTTCTTTTTAAAGAAAAACAATAAAAATCCTCAACTACTAAATAAATAGAAGGAAAAAAAATTTAATATTTTTTTACGGAAAATAAATTTTAATTTTACCTCTTCCTGGATATTGGATGTGCTGTCAAACATAACACCTAAATATGCTAGGTGGAAAACAGCTAAAAGTCCGAATGCAACGTTCGTAACTCTCACGTACAGGTGATCCTTTTAAGAAAAAAACTGGAATTTAATCATTTATTTCAGTAAAACAAAATATTTCCTAATAAATAAATATCAAATAAAAATAATGTAAACCAACATTTTTAAACTCACCTGCTTAAAGACATGGTCACAATCAGGTTTACAATTTCTTGCTTGAATACAAGCACTGAAAATATCTGAGAGTTTTTTCCTCAGCACTATAAAAAATATATTCATTAATAAATATTGAAGAAGAAGAATAACCAATATGCATACTAGTAAATATTTATTAAGTTAAAACTATTTATAAAAGGTATAGGCATAGCTATTAAAATTAGTTAACATGATACAAAAAGTGAAACTTTTTTGTATGAAAAACCCTTTCATAAGATTAGCCCTTTTTTTACTTGCAGTTAAGGAGTTCAAACTAATGAACTCACTAAATTTTTTTAACTATGAGTCATAAGACATTTTCTAAGAGAAGGAATGAGTATAAAAATGTAATACCTTTATGTGAATAAATCTCTTAAAATATATAAACATACCATGTTCAATGTATGTGTAAAAACCCAAGGAAAGAAGAACAGCAGCTAACTGAAAATTTAAACCCTGTAAAATCAAATAAGTTTTTTCAATAAACAGCAGCAATATCAGAAGTTTTATCATACAACTTATAGGAGTATTGTATAGAAACAAATCCTTAAAGTTTTATTTAACAACCAAAATCTTTTAAATTTTCAAAAATTATGTCGATTAATATTAATATCTCCACCAAATTATAAACTCAAAAATTGTTCTAAATCAGCAGCTCCCAAATGGTGTTCTGCAGAACCCTAGGGTACTGTTAAAGGGGTTCCGCATGTTAGTACTTTCTGTAACCCGTGATGAGTTTTGAAAGCTCTGATTACATTTAGATAAAATCTATAATTCATAATTTTTTTAATATTTCGGTTACCTCTATGAAATCATTTTAAGTAAAAAGCCAATGAGCTTGGAAATGGCAGTTTTTAAAAGAAAATATGATATTTCTCATAATATTTTAAACAAATTATGAAAAGAACAAGCATTAATAAAATATTGAATTAGTATTTCCTATCATGCTTTTTAAATTAAAAAAAATTCTTCAATAAAGAAATATGTTTCCCTAATAACCATTTTTAACGGCAGTTTCCATCTTGAAGCAAACTATAATTCCGCTTATTTTATTAAATCCTAATATATACACCAAAAACAAACTCATAACTAGACTCGATATAGAACAAGGACTGCAAATTTAATTGCCAGAAATAAAACCTAATTTAAAGAACAAGCTATGAAAAATCTTCATTCCTCTAATTAAATATTTTAAAAAGTTTTTTATAGGTTAGAACGTTTACAGTTACCTTAATAAACTTTATTTATAAACTCAGGGTTCTGTCGAAAGAAGGTTGATTATTTATGGTTCCAAAGCTGAAAAAATTGGGAACCACTGCTCTAAAGGACACTAATTCTTAACTTTTCAGGTCATTCAACATAAATTTGCCAATTATTTAGAAAAGTTATTTTGAATTACAGCTTATTTAAAATGAAAGAAATATTTAATTATGCATAAAAATACATTTTAGCACTTATCCAGGATTAATTATTATTGTTGTTTGAATATTGGGCTACTTTTGACAAAATTATTCAAAAAAATTTTAAGGGCATTATTATTTAAAAAGAAGTTAATTTATAATTAAATTATTGAGTATCAAAAAGTATAATCAAGTTATCACAAGCTAAATTAATATTTCAAAATTTCTTTTCACTTTTTGCATCTTTTCTTGTTCTCTGTATTGTGATAAGGCTCTTCAATTAGTGAAAATACACTAGACCCCTTTATTTGTAAATCATATATTATCAACACTTTTTATGTAGTTATGAAGCTAAACAAGTTAACACATTATTGTAAACTTATAAGTTTCACACCTTTTTTTTCATTTTAATAGTGTTCCCTGATAATTTGAAGAACAATAATAATTGTTTTCAGTAGTATATCAACAGTTTTTTTTAATTGGTTTTGAGGTCATTACACACTTGCAATTAGGGTAATTAATGCAACTTGTAATTATGAAATTATTAGCAATCTACCTTCTAGGTTAAAGTCTTGGATTATAAGCTAGCTAATAAAATCAATCCGCCATTAGTAATTGTTCAAGAGTGCAATTAATAAAACAAAACAAAAAACTTACATGAAGTAGGGAGCTAGCAGCATATGTAAACAAAACAGCAGCAAAACTGCCCAAGGATTTGGTAGTTTTAAACACATCTAATTTATAAAGAAATGAAAGGTCAATATTAAACTGTTCAATAACCATTTAGATAATATTAGTGTTACATAAATTAGTACAATAATAAGAAATATGTATGTCTGCAACTGATTTAAAATAATCAGTTAGTAGCTAAGCATTGAACAATCTGATAACTAAATGAATAAAGAATTTATAGTATTCTGAGTTTAAACAGTACTAATTATAACAAAGGCTGCATTGGTTCCATAAATTTAAGTCTAATTTTTATAAAATATTTTGTAAAAGTTGATGATTTGGAAAGAAAAAAAGAAAAAAACTTAAAAGATATTACAAATAATAGCGATTTTGCAATAACTCAAAATCTAATATTTTGTTTGTTGTCTTAATTTCAATTACACCATTACCTTGAATTCCATGTTAAATATTTTTATTACTGGAAGTTTATAATGAATATTTATATTAGAGCCCCGATTATCCGCCATATTGACCCATATTTCATCATTATTACAGCTGATATTACCCTATTACGGATTCATTTCTGGACCATTTATCATCAATTCAAGTTAATTTAACTACTGCTGAGGCGATAATTTCAAATTTTTATTAATTAAAAAACGATAAATAAAATAATTGAAATGAAGCTGATATACTTAGGTGCCTATTAAAAATTTATCATTGATTGATCACTGAAAATTTATCAATGATCAATCAGTTACTGATAGCAAACTATTGGAATATTTTTCATTTCAAATTAAACTAGTGAAAACAACTGGTTGCCATCATCAACCACAATATTATAGTATTTGAGTGAATATTAATAGCCATGTGATATAGTTCAGCCTTCAGCTTGACCATCTCTTGTAAGCAAAAGATATGAAATAATAAGTCAATGATTTCACATTGTATCGTTATTTAAAATATAAAACAGTAAGGAATTTTATTTCAGTTGATAATTGTTTGGAATAGTTTTTTCATAGTTTAATAATTATACACTCACAAATAATGTTTAAAAAAAATGCCTGGATTACCTGACTATTTCGATTTTCTGATATAAGGATGGATCCTACAGCATTTAAAAAAAACAAAGACTATGTATATGTTTTACAAAGACAATGCACATAAATTTTAGTCTAGCGCAAGGCATGAAACTTCTACTCACCATTGGTGACCAAATATTTAGGGACAACTATTAAGTTTTGCATTATAACATGTTTTAAATCAAACTACAATATTTTTCTTGAAGTTTGAATTTACGTGCAATAAATAAATCGTAACACAACATTTTCAAACCATCGAGAAATGTTTTGAATGCAGTATGGTGAATTAAGTGGCCATGGGACACTTAATTCACTAGAATGATCAACTGAGTTTGACAGTAAGGCAGCAATTATGGTCTTTTGGTGAAGAAAAGAAGCTGTATTTAGAAATTAAGCTTTAAAAATATGGCAACATTTCTAATGTTTTATTTATTTTAATTAGTAAAACGATATATTTAATTTGTTATTGGAATTAATTAAACCTTTATTTAAAATTATGTTTAATTTTTTCTTATGATTAAGATAATGTTCTCTTATGGTTTTCACAGCCACAAATGATCTTCATATTACATTTATTACTATTCCAAAAATTATTCAGATTTTTTGTGAAAACAGAGGCAAGCAAAAATTTTAGTTTTGCCAGTATCTTTAGAACTAGATAGAGAGATATAGCTAAAAATATATCTCTAAAGCTGGTGTATATTCATATAGATAAAAGCACAAGATTAAGAATAGAGACAGTATTAAAGAATAACTAATATTTACATGTTTTCAGCCAAAAATGCATTGGTACATTCCACCAAACAACAACCTCTACTAAAGAACGAGGAACTTCAATGTTAAAAGCGGCTGCAACAGTGGAAGCCCTAAAATAAAGACAGTTAAAAATTAATAGAAGATCAATAAAATTAAGTTTAAAACAATCATTTATTTTCAGTAAGTATTAATCATTAATTTCAAGTTTATTTAAATATTAGATAAAAAATCATCTCATAAAAGGAAGCTTATTTATTAAAAAAAATAGTAAGAGAAAATTACAAATGCCAAATAAGATATAATTTATAAGATTCATAAAAATAATTGACAATAAATGTACATTATATAACAAAAAATAACTGAAAAAATACCCGATGTTAAAACAAAACTTATAATCGAAGTTTCAATTCGAATCAATTTGAGAGATGTTATCAATAAACCATTCTTAATTTTAAAATCTGAGCTTATAATTAATAACATTCCTTATAACAGCAAAACTTTCCATGTAAACTGCTTTATTTACTCTTCGCTAAATAAAGGAAAGTGCAAAACAGACACTCAATATAATTCCATTGCATTGAATGTATGAATATTTTGCACACTGAAAAAGAGCACTTTCACCTTTCCTTACATTAAAATCCTTATTCTTGTTACTTCTGCATTTCGGCAAAGAGCACAAGCCCGCCTATGGGAAGAGGCATTAACCATGCCTCTTCCCATACTAAACACGATACACTTTTAAATAGATTTCTTACAATAACTGAGTAATTTCCCTTTACATCATATTTTAGATTATCTCCAAAAATTCAAACTGCCTTGTCGTCACATTCTAGAAGGAAACAGCAAGTTAACACAACACTACAATGATTACCAAATTTTATGTTTATGGTATTTTTTCCGTTCAATATTCTGATATAGATCGTGTTAATTAAAAATTTTGATTAGTCTATAAATTTTGACCATGAGGCATTGTGCAAATTTTTTTTTTAGTTTTATGTAATTTTTCTTACAAGAAGAAAATGTTTTAAAAAAAAGTAAGTAAGAAAGCATTTTCATTACAAGAATGAAACCGAAACAGCTGATAATGTTTGGTCATTTAACAGACAATGCGTAAAATTGCTTATCTGGAGTTACCACACCACTCGAATCTGTGAAAAACTAGAAATTGACCGCATTTCAACCCGTGGCAAAAAGAGAAATATGAAATTTATACCTATATTCATTAAAAAAATATAATATATGATAATAGTAAACAGTAAATATTTCAGAAAAAAAGAAACAAATATGTAGATATTTACTGTAAACCAGAAGTTGTATAGATAATATTAGTGTTACATAAANATGGCTAGATCGGAAGGATAATGCATCTCTGTAGGCTTCAACCCATCTAAACAATATTTCAAACAGAATTTTAAAAAAAATAATGAATTTTTTGTTAATATTGAAAATATACATCTACATAGTGTAAAAGTAAAATAATAATTATAAGGATACATACACTAAACGAAAAAGTGAACATAAGTTTTACCATCTGAATAAATAGCCTAAAATTATTAGCAGCTCAACATTTCCTTCTAAATCAATTTCTTTTATTTTAATCAATGATAATATTGTCCTTAAACATCAATACTAAGAATCTGTATTAATCTGCATTAAATTTTTTCAGATATTTTTATTTAGAGTGTTAAAGAGAAGCATATACAAGCAGTAATTAAAAAAAATGGTATGTGATAGAAACCAATTGAAAGACTTAAGGCAATAACAATGTAAGTTCAGATTTATATTAGAGAGAGCCAAACGAAATTTAGAAATTCAATGGGCTTACGTAGTGTTTCTTTATACTACTTAGCAGGAAAGGAATAATTTAATCTCCATGCATTCATTGAAACAGCCTGACTGTCAACAATCAAAAATTAAAATAAAAAAGGAGAAATAAAAATTTGACTTGTTATTGCAGAAAACCCTTCAACTAATACAAGTTTATAGACAGCATAAATAAAATTTAAAAAAAAAATTTTTTTAAAAGACTAATAATCCGTTTTATTTTCCCCTTAATAAAAAATTATCAAAAAAATTTTTTTTAAATACTAAGTAACAAACTAATACAAAACAGAAGCTTTAACAGGAAAAGAATTTGCAACAAAAATAAGTGGAAGTTTTGAAAATAAATTTAAAAAGATGTTACGATAATATGCAAAACTTTTTGTTTGAAAAATGGCTATAATAAATACAAAAGCTGATATTAAAACATTCCATTTCTTTCTAGAAAGAAAATCATTAAAAGAAATATCTGTGTATAATAATTTAATATATAATATTTCTTGTTATAAAGATAGATTCATCTAACAGTGACTGCTAAAGGCAATAAAACAAATACCTTTCTAAATACAGGAAAAATTGTCAAAAGAATAATCTTCGGGCAAAAAAAAAATCATAGGTAGAAATACAAGTAACATGTAATGATTTAGACAAAATTAAATAATTATTATAACAGAATAATATAAATAGCATAAAAATAATGCAATATTTTTACTTAAAAAAGGATGCATTTTCTTACAATGAGTTTTGTAAAGTTACAATGAGTTATTATGAGTGAATAATTAATTATGAGTAGGACTGGGCGATATAAGAAATTTTATATCGTGATGCATCGTCAGTTTTGCATCGCGATATAGCGATGTATCGCGATATAGTATTTTTGAAATTAATTTACTTGTAAAGCGCAGAAAGTCGGATTTCTATCAAAACTTCATACTCAGATTGATTTAAATCAATTTATGAATTTGATGTATATGTTTCGCTTAAGAAAGATATTAATGTTATATTCTCTAAAAATGATCAAGCAAATAACGAAAGATTTCTTAGTTTAAAAATAAATAATAAGAAAATAAATAAAATTACAAATCGAAGTTGCCAGGT